TGAGCAGAGGTGGTAATTAACGAAGTCCATGCATCTCATGGAGAGCTTCCTGCATACTGAATACTTGGGCAAAAAGTCTCATTCTGCCTGCTGGCGGAGCATTACTTTTCTCTGTGTAGCTGGAGTTGCAAGTGCTTTTAAAGGGATTTGAGAAAGGCCCTGGTTCCAAGGGTGCAGATTTGGAGACCAGGTTTCAATATTGCTAGGCATACAAACGTGAAAGAAAGGAGAAATGTTTCTTCTCCTGCAATGACATTATGTTTCTGGTTGTCTAGAGAGGTCCATCTTAGATAAGGCCTTATTCGCTGACTGAAAAAATTTTGGTCAAGAAAGGAAAGGTGAGCAGAGGTGGTAATTAACGAAGTCCATGCATCTCATGGAGAGCTTCCTGCATACTGAATACTTGGGCAAAAAGTCTCATTCTGCCTGCTGGCGGAGCATTACTTTTCTCTGTGTAGCTGGAGTTGCAAGTGCTTTTAAAGGGATTTGAGAAAGGCCCTGGTTCCAAGGGTGCAGATTTGGAGACCAGGTTTCAATATTGCTAGGCATACAAACGTGAAAGAAAGGAGAAATGTTTCTTCTCCTGCAATGACATTATGTTTCTGGTTGTCTAGAGAGGTCCATCCTGAAACCCTATGTCCTTTCTATTAAAGTCTGGGGTTTTTTTGGATTTTTTTTAAAGACTATTCAGCCCAATTGTTTTGAAACCCTATGTCCCTTCTATTAAAGTCTGGGGGTTTTTTTGTTTTTTTTTTTAAAGACTATTCAGCCCAATTGTTGCTCAAGGTTCCCAAGGCAACACAAAGACAATCAAGAATAAAGGAGCAGCTTGCCTTTCCTTTTTTTTTAAGTTCTGACATCTGGGAGTTGAACTGGTCCAAGCACTTCTGTTGAACAGGGTAAGGAATCACCTGCACTGAAGACTACCTCCTTCTTCCATGGACGTTTGACATAAGAAATTCACATTACTTAAATTCTACTTCAGTTATGCTTTATTTTAGAAGAAAGGTTTTTGACTCATCAGGTACTGTGGTTCTCTAACAAGCCACACTCAGATTTAGACAAAACTGCAATTGTGGCATGGAGAGCTCAGAAGTACTTGCAGAAAGATCACTGTACCATTTCAGTTTAGATCTTTGTTTAGTGGAGATAGGAATCTCTGCATAATAGGGGACACTTTATGTCTTTAAGGTATTCACCCAATCTAAACATCAAGTCCTCAGCACTTAACATAATGAGATTTTGGTCAGACTGGGACTTCTAGGTCTTCAAGCGCTTCAGGACAATGTAGGAACAAGCACAAAGGCAAAATAAATTACAATCTACGGTTTGGGGGTTAAAGAAATCCATAACTGTTAGGCATTATGATGAGAGCCCTGTGAATACAGGTTATAGCAGAAGAACTTACTGGTACATTCTTCAGTTGAGGTACTGCATCCATGCTGTTTTCAGACTCAAGAATATATAATCCTTAGGTCTGAACCAAACTGATAACTCCTCTTGCCGTACGTAATGCATACACCACTATGTGCATTCTGCCCAGCTGCAGACTTCCCACTCTATGGTGTGAAATATTTTGTTTTCCCTCTAAACCATTCAAAATCTAGGCCTAGATTCGATGTCTGCATTCTACATTTACACCTTTATTTGAAATAAATTTTGGTATCAGTTGTTCAGAGGTATATAGAATGTATGTTAAATGGATGACCAGCTCACTGGACTCAGTAAAGAAATAGAGCTTTTACTTCAGAGAATCCCAGATCTGGTTCATTATCAGACTTGTCTATTTTGAAGTGAGCCAGTGAACACCATCTAATTTTTAGCATACAGGTATATATATTTGACAAACTATCACCGCTGCCCTTTTGAATAGTTTTAAAAATTACTAAAAATATTGAAATGTAAAGGAAATTGAAAAGTCTATACTATATACTCCCACTGCAACACCAGCCGTGATCAGCACAGTGAAAAGCGATGAAACCTCACACTGTTATACACACAGAGGTCTCTTAACTGATTCTTAGTATCTAGTGAACACCGTTAAAAGGAGAAATGAGGCTCCCATTACAAGCACAGGTGACTGCAGTCATGAGTCCTCCCTTCAAAACCAACTTCCCACCTACCACCCATCCATCTTAGTCTTCTGCTTTCTCCCATCCTTTGTGTCTGATAGGGAAACTAAGATGATGTCTCCCAAAGTAAATCATACTTCTGTAAAAACAAATATACTATACACAAGAAAAAAGCTTGTTAGAGACCGATAATGCACAATGTTGATAACTATCCTTTATGTATTTCCACTATATAGACCGCATTTTAAAATATTTGTAACAGATTACACATTACAGAAAGCCTGAGGCATAATAGTGGGAAACTGTTTTTAAAATAGTAATATTTAAATTTGCTTCTTCCACTTCTAGTTGAAAAACTGGTAGTGGCCTAGCTGTAACTGAAATACACGAGTACTATTTGAAGAAAAAAATACCAGATAATTCTTCTAAGCACTTACCTGATTTAGAGATAAGGTTTTGCATTTGTACAGTGTATCCAGACATTATATTAGGAGGGGCTAAGTGTTACTTACACATACAATGCCACACAATAGATGAACCAAGTAAAAGGAGTAGAAAGTTCTTATCAGAACTATCAAAACAGGATCTGGATCAAAATGAAGTCAAAATAAAAGGAGAGAAATAGCAAAGAGTACAGTAATATTAAGAGATACACAGGAAAGCTCTCGTGAGTTTTAAAATTTACATGTTATTCCAGTTTTCACAGAGGCCAGTTTGGATTTCTGTTTGTTTTCATATCTCTCTCTCTCCAAATATATACTTGGTAATATTCCACCAATTGAAGTTTTATTTCTATCAGTATTCTTTTCTCACTTGTGTCCCCTCTGTAGTGCTACTGTCATATACTAAACAATCTTTCCCGTGATGTATTTCATTATTCTATTAAATGCACACTTTTATTTGAACATTCTTAAAAGAATTCTATAGAGAAAACATTCATTAAAAGAAGTGATTCAAGTTCATAAGAGACCTTTTTCAAATATGGTATCCACATTGAAGAGAGGAATCTGGAAGGTCTCCGTGCTTCTGAAGACTGCTGTGTCTTCCCTACAAGAGATTACTACTCCCAAGGGCTCAAAATGTTAATGATGGAGAGCAGCATTTTTTCTTCTCTGGGCAGTTTGTATATATTAGGTGTTTTACAAGCATTTCTGCAACTCCTCTCTTCAACTATTGGCAGCACACTACAAAACGAATACATTATTTCTATAACCTGCGTAGTTCAATACTCTCAAAGCTCTAACTTCATAGTTTTAAGATTGAATTTAAAAAATCCCAGGATAGAGCAAATCCTTCTTATCATGTTATCATTGACTTTGAGAGCTTACTTGCTTGACAATAGTATTTTAAGTATGTCTGTAAGACCAGCAGAAACTCTTCAAAGAATACCACTGACAGGATAATTTTTTTTCCTTGGATTTTGTTCACTGAATTCTTATTCAATACATCTGCCCTCCCTTTTCGTAAGTGCAAAGCTCCTCCTTGACATTGCCCCAAAGGACAAATGTACTCACACACTTTTGGGTCTTATGGCCAAATTTACATTTCACGCTTTGTAGAAGGAGATATGCTGCATGAGACATACCACCACCAGTCACAACGTCAACAAAAATGTTCTTGTCCAGTCTTCATCAACGCATGCCCAGTTCAGATTTTTACCAGGGCAGTAAAGAATAAAACCAGCTACTCAAATACAACCCCCAGAATCCTGGCATTAACCAGAAATCTAGCGAAATACGTAGAACAGTAATGACTGTTACTGCTCAGGAGACACTTTTGGCAAATTTCCAGAGCCCCAAGAACAAAAGTTCCTCTGCTGATTTTTATTTATTTATAGAGTCAAAAATAAGTGCAGAAATCGTAGAATCTGCAGTTATTTTTATTCTCCTCAGTAGGAGGATTTTGCTTTAGTAGGAGGTAAATTGCTCTCTGTTTACATTGTCTGTAATAAAAGCCTGCAGTTGAGCAGCCTTATCCTCACACTGCAATTACAAGGAGAGGGCTTTCACGGTCCGTGTTCTAAGACTCTGCAGGCTTTAGTTGGCCTTTTGGCCACATTTTGATCACCCTTAACTTTTGTAAAACCGTATATTACACATCTTCAAAACTCCAGAAAGGGTCAAAGTATGGGAAGATTATTTAATAATCTAGTCAATGCCCAGATCTTGGGGATAATTAGTTTTTACAGACCATTATCTATAAGCCTACAGACTAGGGGACTCTGATTCAGCAGAGTACTTAGGCAAATGCTGAAATATTTATTCTGAATAAACTTAAGCAGGCTCTAACTTCAGGGATGTAGAGAATTGAATGATTGGTCATGAATGGACTTAACTATCCATTTGAATACTTTAAGCTATTAAGAGCTTGATTTGGACAGCATTTTACATGAATTTATAAAGAGTTGGAATACCAAGAATAGAGTGACTTGCTTTTACAGCTGCAGTTCCACAGCAACTACCATATTGCGATATTAACATCTTCATTACAATAGAAAAAGGTATTACATTTCTTGTTTGTTTATTTTATTTTATTTTACTCTAATGTTTTAAAAGCTATTTAAAGTATAAAAACTTAATAGCATTTCACTGCACTCTCTATTCCACTAGAGGTCAGCCTGCAACAGAACCCCAAGCAAACACAGGAACTGCTGCACGCTGGTAGCACTGACATTATTTTCTTTCTCTATTTTATCTATTAGAAAGATTTCTTCAGAGCCATAACTTAGATCTCTCACTAAAATGGAGCAACAGGAAGATATAATGGTGCATTTCATTTATGAATGACCTATAATAAATTACTATGAAGTATTCCAGGTGCCAAACGAGAGAATGCTTTGTCTGCACATGAACTATATTTCACATACTTTAATTTGGCTGACACATAAAACTCATTTGACATTTTGCAGGTATTTCTTTGAAAGGATATTTGGTTCTTGTTGAGCGTTAAGGTATGGAGGTGGGGCAACCTGGGTAACAGAAGGTCATTTCCGAGTAGATTGTTGTCCAAGATCAGCTCTTCCAAGTAACTGAATGTTTTCAGTCCTTCTAGTGACCTGCAAACGACAAAGGCAAAAGGAAAAATGATACTCCACTAAATCAGGGAGGTCATTATGAGCTGAAATAAATATTTTAACCTTCCCTTTCAGGAGTGGGAATAGTTTTGGTTTGGGCCTGTCAGAAGAGTGAATGACAAGCATTAGTGGCAAGGGGAGTGCTGGCACTGCAACACATCCTTCACATGCTGGCAGGATGAAGGATGGGGGTCACTTAGTGAGTAGCCAGGATCCAAAACAAAAGGCTTCAGATATGGGGCCTGCAGGATGAATTTGTCAATGTCTTGTGCCTTCAGGCACCCAGCCTCGCCTGACCCTAACCTCCATTCCCAAGATAAATAACTCTGTCACAGTTCACCTTCATTCCCTGGACACAAATTTAAGTTGTCATCCATCATTTCTGCCAAGAAATATCATACCCCGCTAACAATAATAAATACAACTTCAAGTATCATTTCTTAGCAGTTACCTTACATGCAATAATAGGAAATGGAGAAGGGATTTTTTTTTTTTTTTTACTTTTTATTAACCACTTAATTTGCTTCTTGAGTCCCTGCAAACAAAATAAAATGTTCTCTACAAAGTAAAATGCAAAATTAGTCCAGACAGAAAAGGCATTTTCTTTCTTTTTGGAACTTACTGTCCCACTGTCAAGCCACAGGTCAGACTGCAGAGAGCAGCCTTAAAAAGGAGCATTTCACAACATGGACGTGCACACGATGGCTTATAAATAAGCAAGATTCTGGAGGTATTCATTCCTCTGACAACAAACTACAGGGAAAAAAAACCTAAAAAGAACACTTTGGTACCTTGTTAAGGCATCTATTCTAAACTTGATTCTTAATGCTTGCACATTCCACCAGGAAAAAGAAACCCACACATTAATCAACTAAGACACATGGTATACGGAGCATACGCACAGACACACATTCACAGCTCATTCACCTACCAGACACCTAAAGATATGCTGAGATTGCATGACTTGACAGCTGATCTACTATGCCTACCAGTGGGAAGATCATCACTGTATCTCCTGTCTGTTTTATAAAATGTGATGAATAAGGGAGATGCAGTCTATACTATTTATTCAGTTTCCAATGACATTTATACTGAGGGGATTTCCTCACCCTCCCCCCAGTTTTTTGGCAAAGATCAAAATACAGCCAAGGCCCCTGTTAGAGAGTTCCACAGGCACTACTGCTGGAGGAAAATGCAAATATTATTAGAAAGTATGTGGATTTCAAATTAGACAATTTAACATTCATCTCTCCAACAACAACAAGATACCACTTTTGTAGGTACAACTTACTGACCACTGATAAATCACATTTAGAGGGTTCAAACAACCAAAAGAAATCAAGTCCATGACCTTTACACTGGGTACTGTACACCAAACTATGAATATTCAAGTAACATTTGCACAACATCGAAACAGTGTATTTCAGTCCAAGGACTCCAAAGGGTTCACAGTCTCTTGACTTGGCATTCTGAAAGGGAGGTACGACTATTCCTAATGCCATTTTGATGCTGGGCAGCCAGACCTAAAGACAATTTGCCATGCCTGCACCCTGTGGCATATCCATATCGGTACAATGCACTGAGACTACAATTTCTGAAGCTGAAAGAACAAAAGCCTCTGTTATAGACATCATTCTGAAACAACCACCACAGTAAACAGTCGCACTTTTTGCACTTGCCTTTAACAAGCTGTTTGGGGAAAAACTCAATTCAGCCTACCCAAACTGCAGAGGGTTAAGAGCGGTGCTAGCACGCTGCATTCAGCTGGCTCCTGCAGCAAAGGGTCGCAACAGACTTGGGTTTGCCACAGTCAAGATCAGAAGAGAGATCAGCAAACATTTCAGACAGTGCTTTCCCCCGAAGTACCTTTAAAAGGCAAAATAACCCAGAGGAAGTAGCAGTGAGTTTATCAAGCTGTTATGAGTTTTCGTTTCAGTTTATTTGACAAACCTAGTTTAGCAAATTCCCCTTAAATACTCTTTATTATATAAATAGTGGATTATTTCCAAACCTCACATTTCAGTGTAAGACTTTGACTTGCCAAAGGAGTTCAGAGAAGGCCACCTCCTTGTCAACACCACAGAGCCTTATGGGATGTTAATAGGTCCTTTGTGAAAAAACATTGTTTGGGCTCTGGTCAGTGTCAGCATCAAAATACACATTGTTCCTGAGTTATGTTATGCAAATATAATACTCTTATCATAAGAATCAGCAAATGGTTGGCAACTGGCAAGGAGAAGAAAGCGCACATCCAAAACTGCTGCAGGGGAGGCATAAAACAAAATGACAAGCCATGAAGTGGGACAAAAGGCCTTGAAACACTAGAGGGAGTTGCCTATTGAAACAGCCTTTCTTTCACAAGCCTGGGCTGAACACGGGGTACTAGTTTCATAGATAGGCAGAGAAAATTGTGCGCAAATCTCCTTACACCTGTCTGGTTTTGATAATTTTTGCCATGTAATGTTATTAGCTGCTCAGTTAAAAAGGAGCCGTGTTACACAGGGGGTTGCTTATTAATTGTTGTTTTCATGTCATCAGAGCAGTGTGCACTTGGTGATTTAATCACCTAAATTCAGAGTCCGGGGAGATGGGAGGAGCTGCCACAGCACAGAGAGGGTGTAGCCATTAACATAAATTTACATCCATATGTTATTTTGCTATTCGCAGAATTCTTATTTTTTCATCTTAAACAGAAGAAAAAAAAACCTGCACCAAAACAAAAATGGTAAGACAACTGGTAAAGAAACGAAAAAGGGAAAAACGTGATTGCTATCATTCAGTGATTCTTGCTGCTAAATTCAAGGCAACAATCTCCACCATCATAATATATAAGGAAACATTGCCCAGCAGTTACACTCCACAATTTAAAAATGTTAAGTACAATCCACACAATAGGTTTTCTGGTACAAATTTCAGCAAGTCACATAACTTTTATGTGCCTCAATTTCCCACGTGCAGATGGGGGAAATGAAAGGATTGCAATTGTGAATTGGTATGTAGAAAGTATTTTTGAGGAGCTGAGGTAGAAATCAGAAGTAAATACTGGCATGTTTATTCTTAATTAGTAATTCTTAATTCGTAATTCTTAATTAATTAGTTATATTAATGTACTCCAAGTATTTCCTCATGATCCCATTACAAAAGCGGAGCGGAGTGCATAGCATAACACGCAAACACCCTAAGAGATGAGTATAAAAAGAGGGAAATCCCCCAAGAAAGAGAACCAGTCTACAATTAAAGCTGTGCTGTTTTCTCATAGTTCGCAGCAGAAAAAATGTCTCCCCGTATTAGTATATTAAAACAAACTCACAATTTTACCACCGAAATACAACCAGCCCTTGAAGGGGCAGCGGCAGTAGTTGTTTTCCCTGGTTTCAAAAGGCTGATAAACATCACAAAGGTGTATTGCAGGTCGCTTTTCCCTGCTCTGATGACAGGAAAGCTGCCCATTATCTCACCCACAGGTACCATCTCAGTTACCTCATCGCAGGGCTCACACTCCGCTCCCAGAGGAGAGCAAGTGCTGCCAAGAGATTTCCATTGCAATTTCCAAAGTCACATCAAACCGACAAAACATCACAACGTATTCAGCGCCGCCTCATTCAAACAGAAAAAACTTTAAGTTTCCACTGTAATTAACCCTATCCTCGTTAAGATAATTATGATCAAGCTCCCTGTCACAGCTAATATCACAGCATCATTGCCTATGGCTCACGCTTTGCCCTCATTAGCTTACAAAAACACTGTGCTAAACAGGAAACTGACTCCCTCTGCAAAACGACTTAAGAGGTTCTGTAAGCAGACAGTAAATAATCCTTTAGCATACAACGGTCTCACAAATGTCATTTTATCCAAGTCCTTCCACTAATCAGTATGATTTCTTCCAGCTTTTTTTTCTGTAATTCTTTCATAGTTTGTAACAAAGTTTTAATCATAAAGGAATGTCATGGCAGAGATTTTTTTTCTCCTCTGTGTATTCGTGGCAACTGTCAACTACACTATTTCATATGGTCCCTCTGGCCTGACAGGGATTTGGTTACAATGAAACTGAAGAGCAGCTCTTCATTTTGGTAATACATGACAATGAAAACACAAGATCTTATAAATGAAAAAAAACCCCAGAAACCTCTCAAGTAATGGACAAATGCTGGTACACTGCAGTTGTCCTTGTCCAGAGGAACGAGCTGTTCAGAAGTATACGCTGAAAGTGCTCCTCACGTTTTACCCCACCCCTCCATTAATAAGACAGCTGCCTCATATCTAATGACTTTTTTCCTCCTGTTTAACAGGAAAAGAGAGAGCAGTTAACAATATGTAAATGAGAGAGTTTGGCTTTAGCCTTGAAATTGATTTGCACTCTGTTGACAAGAGATAGCCATTACCAGAAGTTAAAGACAGAGCTGTTACAAAACAAGTGCTTTTTAAAATACCTTTTTTCTTGCCTTTTATGTTTTAACAGATTAAAAGAGAGCAGAATCAACACGAGAACCCTAGTAGTAGATAATTTCAGTATTTAAAGAACAGAAATGTAATTTCTATTTCTCCAGCACCTGCCAGCCAAGGAGCACAAAGCATTTTTTTTTTTAACATTAATGAATTACTCTTCAAAAACCTGCTGAGCTTAAAATTCCATTTTGTGGTAAAGCAGAGAGAGGTTAAGTGACTAACGAAAGGTGACCTCCAGCAATTTTCTAAGAGACAAGAAATAAAACCCAGAGCTCCTGACTTCTAGTCCTCTGACTTAACCTCACCAAAACAAAACAAAGAGCAATAAATAAATGCTATATATATAAAAACATAAGACAGACATGTGTAAGTTTAGATTTTGCATAATTCCCTGGGAATGTAAAACATCATTTCAGTTTTACTTGCTTTCATTCCTGTTCAATTTTAAATTCCATTTAATGTGAAATATAGCATACAAATAAGGGGAAAAACCCAAGCCAATTCCAATTCTGTTTTGCTGGTGGAAGGGGTTACGT